AGTTCCCACGAGTATGGGGGAAATATTCGGTCCACCCAGGCAGTGCCCCCTGTACCTGGGTAAGTGTTAATTTGTTTCCCAACTAGAGGTTCCACTGGTCCCCTAGCTGGGGGTGCGCTCGCGACTGACACTACTCCTCAGCCATGCATACTCTCGCCGCGCACCAGAACTTAGTATTGGAGGAATTTTTTATAGAGGTTATCTTCCTCGCGGTCCGGGCGACCAAGCCAAGACCCTCGTCCCGTTCAGAGTCACAAAACATGACCGTGACCTCCTTACGGATTACGATATCGACGGCTGCAATCGGGGACAGCTTGTGTCCCGATGCTGCTCGCTGGCAGGGTGAGTGCACAACGAGCACCGCCCTTGCCTCTCCGCCACGCTCTCTGCTAATCAGAGAGACAGGCGGAGAAACGCCCCACGGAAGCGCGGGCCATGAGCACACAGCCCGCCGCCTCCAGAACCCTATCGGGTTCGCCCGCCCAGTCCAGAAGTCTGCTGCGGGCGACAGTCACTCCAACCCTATCACCCCCGCTAGGGAGACTGTCGCCCGCACCCAGGGTGCACCACGGGGAGGTCTTCTGGCACCGATAGGGTTTGAGCGGTGAAAAGGGACAGAAGAGGGGTGAATCGATACCTAAAAATTCACCCTATTTTACGGTAGCTAAAAATTGAGTACCAAAGTTATTTTAGCAGTAGGTACAGATCAATATCTATAAAGGTGCTCAAAGGAAAATACTTATTTCTTTGACACTTTTACACTTATTTGTTTTAGTTTTGATAGAATAATCAGTATTGACGATGCCTTTTTTAGGGGGGAAATGCCGAAGCTCTTAATGTGAAGTTCATGATACCATTTTTTGTGGGAGCAACCAATGCAACGTAGCAGTTAGAGGCATAAAGGGGAAGAAGACTTCTGACTTACATATTTGACATCCTAGGCTCATCAAATTCCAGTTTAGCTGGTTGTTGGTAGACTAAGAACACATAACGGTGCAGTCCAGTGTCCAGTGCTGGTCCAGCTCCAAAGTACTCCATGAGCTGATCTCCTGCTAAGATGTCGTCTCCTGGCACGTTGCCCACCAACCAATGGACAACCTGTCCCTGTGTTGGGTCATCATGAGAAGGCACATCAGGATCTAGAACAAAGAAATTAATCTAAAGTCAAAGTTTGGCACTAGCGAACTACGACTACTTCAACAATAAGGATTTTTGACTTCAATTGGATTTAAGTGCGTAGAGGTTCTAGAAACACTATAAAAAATTAAGCGTAGGAGAGCCATGCTTCGGCACGAATGGGCCGGCTCGACCGGAGTGATACCACGGCCGAGCAGAAAACCGACGTGAAACAACGCTTGTGTTGTGTTTCGTTGTGTGAGTGAGGTTACCGGAGGCCCAATCGCCCTCCCTCCTCGCTCGAGTGTTCATGGGCAACGCCGATTGCTTACAATCAGGTGATCCGTCTGCTCGTTTGCCTCCTATTCCATAAAAAAATTTAGTCTGCTCGTCTACCAGGCTATCCCATAAAATATACATTTATTACCAGCACCACAAAACTGTAGACGAAGCAAGTGCATCAGCGCTGTCTTATAAACCTGATACTCTAAAACTGTAATGCTGGAATACTGAAACGTTACATAATTTTAAGACGTGCTTAAATATCATGCTGCCTCTGTCATTTTACAAAGAATTTGTAGACACAGAACTATGCTTAAACTGTCAAACACCAAGCGGTCACCGGTGACCGCAACCTATTGTTCTATAATTGTGTCTACAAAACCGGTACTCGACGAGTTAAGCGCGACTTAAAATTGAGTAACGTTTTAGTATTCGGGCATAAGTGTTGTAAGCTATCTACTGTAAATTACCTACTAACCAACGTTCGCAACAGTATAAAAGAAGTCAGGTTCCGCATTCCACGAGAGTGAAGGAAGGTCCTTCACCAGGGTAGGAGTCAACACGTTGCCATTATGCACTTCTGCACCACTCGGGAATTTTACCTAGAATTGGGATGATGACAGGGTATGAAAATTAAAAATCTATTAGTCCGTAAGTTAGGATATTAAAAAATATTAGACACGTATTTTTATATTTTGTTGTATAATAAAATGATACTTAGATATAACGAATCAAAGTTTCGGAGTGGGTAGCTAAAACATCATTTCTATGTATAAAATGTAGGTACATAGAAGTGACGTCACGCGACATTTCAAATCAATATAATATCGTCGAAAGTATTCGTATCTGTAAAAATTTTAAAAAATGTATAATGTTTTAAAATGAACTACCAGACGGATATTAAAATAAAAATTAGTCATCTACCCTATTAAGAAAAATAAATAAATACTATGATAATAAAAAAAAATACTTACATAATATAAAGATGAAATCGGATGGTAGAATCCTAATCTTTATCAAAATAAAAATCAGTACTCAAAATGATGTAAGGGTGGGGCCTTAAAGCATTTTGAGACCTTTGCGAATTGAAGGGCTTCAGAAATCATACCACTTTCAATACTATGGTTGAAACGCGGGAATATTTTTTAAAAAACCAAACTTACAGCCAAATATTCGTCAGGTACCACAGATACAACATCGGGAACAATGTTATATTCCAAAAAACTTGAAGCTAAATCCGATCCCACAGGAGATGCAATGAAATTATTTACGTTAGTTAAAAAAATAAAAAAACACAATCGATACATCTTGATGACAGTTTAATACTGATTACAAAAATGTATGTTAAGATATTCCTATTTATATATACTGAAGTGCTTAAAATTAAACTGTCATTTGTTTAAACATTACATTATCATGTTTGAACAACTGAAGGTAATTACCATTTGAAACCTAACCATAAAAAATCTGAAATCATAACCTGAGTGCCAAGCACGAATAACTATCGAATTCGTGACTTAATAATATCGAGCGTGTTCGGCGTTCTGATTGGCCGGCTCCAGCAAATCAACCAATGACTGTGCTTGGCACTCTGTTATTTTGCCAAGACAAAAAAACTGTAGCTTTTAAACGCAGACGAAGTCATGGGAGAAACTAAAGGTAATCATATTCTTAAATTTTGATATGTTGACCCATATGGCAAGTTTCTAGAAACTATTGGCATAAAGGTGGTACTTATTACTACCTAGTAGGTACCTACCTACTTAAAATTAAATATTATCAAATAAAATAATTGCATAAATTATCAAGCGAAACGAATGGACAAGGTAATAAATAAGGTAACAATAGCCTTCCAACAGTCGGGTAAAAACATATCATAACATAACATCATGCCTTTTTATCCCCGAAAGGGTAAGCAGAGGTGCACACAGAAGTAACACCCACTTTTCACTATTTATGTTATGAGTCCCATGTAATAGGGGGTGAGCCTATTGCCATATACCGGGCACATTTCCAGACTCCGTGCTACTACTGAGATTTAAAAAAAAAACCAGTAATACTTTGCCCGACCCGGGAATCAAACCCAAGACCTTTTGCCCGGCAGTCGCATTTGCGACCACTCGACCAACGAGGCAGTCGGTAAAAAGTAATATATAAAATGAGCCATCATGAAATCGTAAGTGGTAGGTACTTACCTACCTGTTATTTCTGTTATTTATACCACTTACACTCACTAATGTGGATATGGTATGGTATATTATATTCGGTACGGTATGGTATATATTTTGATATCGAAATATGGTATATATTTAATAGTCGTAAGACCAAGTACATATAATGAAGTGATTTGACCCCATTACATAACCAACTTTAATAAAAGATTAATTGGATCATCTATCAATTCTATTAAATAATACTCATGCAAAAATTTAAATAGATCAGAATCATGTTTGTTCCAAACGAGGTTCATCCCCATGTTTATCATCCTTGTAGGTAGAATTTCGATTATTGATATTATATTTAACTTGTGTTAATTGATTAAACATACGAAATTGTCATTACTCATTCTTAGTACCTTTGAGATTCAAGGTAACTCATTCTTATCAGACAAATTATCATAACTTACGCTTATTAACTTTGAATGTGAATATTGAATATGACTGTATACGACCTTTTGTTAACCATACGTTATTGTGTGATGATGTCGCTGAGAACCTAACGGGTTACCGGGGCTACGGCTCGACGTGCAGGAGAAGGAACGGGGTGGTTTTTAGTCAGTAAGAGTCTGACACTCCCTCCCGCCTCACCCAGGCGGGAGCAGTCATTCGATGATTTTCCCCATTTTCCCCCCTTAAAAAAAAAACCATACGTTATTGAAAATTGGCATAAAATTTTAATTCAACGCAAATTAGTGCTAAACCAAACTAACTATTACTGGCGTCTCAATTTCGTTGTTAACCGCATACATTTGGCCGTCCATTACACCATTCAAACGCCCGTTTAAACTTGAGCAATTTAATTTATTTATACGAAGACGGCAACGTTTCGCAAAGAACCTGTCTATTATTTCTGTTCGACCTTGCAACTATTATGCGGTTGTGATAAAACTTTGCTTGCGTCTAAGGGCCGTTACGTCACTAGTGGCGCCTTTTTAATTTGTTCGGTTTATGCTTTAATTGTGTTGGATTTGGTAGAGGTACATCGTAAAATTGCTTGATTGATATTGAGATAATACCGATTTTTTAATAAATATTATAGTGTTTATATCTTTTTGAAATAAAAGAGACAGCTTGCTCTTCAATTTGATAAATAATAACTATAAATCAATTTTAATTTCAATATAACAACTTGTAAACTTCTACCCAATTCTCCCTTGATAGCAGCCAAATTTAAAAACTCCATTACATTGGAATCATCGGAGACTGTACACGTGGGTACCATTCCATGTGTACCTAACTTTATCTATTCTGTTGGCCTTATCCACAAGAGACTCGAACAAACTTTTATCATTTCAATGAACATTTCAGTACTTAATGAATCATGCGTGTAGAACAATAATTGTTCAAGTCGATTGAGAGAAACTTGTTTTTGCTTAGGGTCAGTCTGACTTGTCCTTGCTCAGTCAATTGATAGTTAATTAGTAATTATGTTGGATTGAATATGAGTTGTGAGTCTTTATTTGCATTGTTAGAGTGGTAGTGGACATATATTGCTTTTTATTATTCATTTATTACACTTAAAGCAGGGCTGTCCAAGGGTATACCCTTGCGGGCTAATTAAAATTCTTACAAAAGCTGGAGCGCCAGAAAAATATTTTCAGTTGTATTTTATTCTTTACTCACAAACAAAACTTGTATATAAACCATACACTGAATTTTATTATTGTTGTTGCACATAAGATGAAGTGATTGAGATTAAAATGTGCGTCGCAGGCCACATGAAAAAGGATCGCGAGACAATCTCCGGCCACCGTAAGCACGGGCCTGCGGATGACGGCCAGCACGGGTGACTCGCCGCTCGACCAGAACCAGGCCCGAGCGTACGGCACGCGCCTCAAGGAGCCATCAGACCACCACAGATGGGGCCTAACAGGGCTGATGCCGATACGGAGCCGCGGAAGACTTAACGGGTTGCCGGGGCTCCGGCTCGAAGTGCAGGAGTAAGAACGGGGTGGTTTTTAGTCAGTAAGAGTCTGACACTCCCTCCCGCCTCACCCGGGCGGGAGAAGTCATAGGACAATATTCCCCCCACAAAAAAAGGCCACATGAAAAAAACCCGCGGGCCGCATGCAGCCCGCAGGCCTTTATTGGGCAGCCCTGCACCTAAAGTATGTACAACACTTTAGCAACATTATAGAACGCGTCATATCTTTTTACCTTACTAAAAGAAAGATTAATTTATTGGAATTTCTTTCCTAACAAAATGGTTAAGAAAATAAAAGAGATTTCTAATTTTATATCTTTTTTATGGTAACTGGTTTTCAGGTTGTTATTCTGATGAAATTTGAGTTTAGAACACCGTTTAAATCGTACTTTTTTATTTTGTGTTCAAGTTAAAAAAAAATATTAATTATCATAGACGACCTCCACGTTTCATTAGTATTTAATGTCAATTCTTGGACTATTGTTTCAACAATTTTCCCGAGATATTTATAATTATTCCCATTAAGAACCTTCTCAAAACAACGAGCAATAATTGAAAATGATCTTACAAACCGATATATATTATAAAGATATTATACATAAGGATTATATTCAACTAACATAGCAAAGACTATCTACACACTGATTACTCTTAGAAAAAATCAAGCAAAATAATCTTTATTGTATTCTGGAAAGTATTTCTTTATTTCTTACACAATTGTCTCTCTTGTGTCAGTGACTTTCTAGGAAGAAAGAATTTGGGATATAAAGATAAGATTAAGGACTCAATCCAGACGTAAATCTAGGATCAGCTCGATTCTTGACATTAAAATGACTTTCAGATATCCCTAAAGATCTTGGTACTGAGATAGCTGACTAGATTTAGTTACATCTGATGGAATTTCAAGATTTTTCGTTTTGCCATCAATTCGTCAATCTATGTTTCAAATCTTGTAGGTACGTCTATTTCAAATGGAAGGGTTTATCTTAATGTTTTTTTTAAAGGGGGAATATCATCAAATGACTGCTCCCGCTTTTATTTTAATGTAGTGAGATTTTTTTTTATTTATTTATTTGCAGCCATGATCGTCCCACTGCAGGGCAAAGATTGTCTTGGGATTTCCTAGTGTTTTTTTCCTAATATCATTTTATAACCAATTGTTTTATTCCACAAAAACAAGCGTAAATGTCTTGGTCATTTCAAAATTTCCACAAGTTGACAAGCCGAGTTTAATTCCACAATTATCTCAGCCTTTCGTAAGAACGTCAGTACTTTTCCTTAATCCGACTATAAAATTGTAGCACGTAGTATAATAATTAAGAATTATGAGCATTAGCGTTTAAAATGGCTGACACGTATTTCGATTGCAGCGCGCGCCGACCGGTCTCGCCACGAACGCATCGCGTTGAGTGACGAAACACACGCTTTCCATAAGACCGTATAGACAACGTATTAGACATTGATTCATTAATATAGAGGCCACAATTTTCGACCGTAGCGACTACGGAATTACCAAAAGATTTTGGTCTTTTTCCCTAATCAAACATGACTTTTAAAGAAAAATTTCTGTTTCAAAATTCCCGGTACTATATAACTTTAAAACTTCCGAACCCTTCGTGTAACCGTAGGCGTGTCCCTATTACTTAAACCAACAATATAACTTATAGAAAGGGGCAAAGACTTGATTGTTTTAACCTTTGTATTGAAGAAGATACAAGACATACCTGCTCTTTTATTTAGAGTATAAAGCCTTTCCTTATTTCAAATGTTATGTAGGTTTTATGTTTGTTATATCTACTTACTTGAACGCCAATGCCAATGATCTTTGTTTCAGACGGCTAAAATATGTGGATCAAAAGAACCTTCCAGATATACAGACCTATTCCCCACCTACGCCATGTTTTTAAAAGAAACTTACTTAATGTTAACTTAACTTAATGTTTCAAACCAAAGATTTTCCCTTTAATGTCTATCAAATAGGACTGGCATCTTTTTAGATAAAGGTCTTGTTAAAAATAAACAACAGGAAAAAGATCTCTTTTAATGTGTTTGACTGACGACTAAAAACTTTTGAAGGCATAGAGTATTTAACATTTTAATCGCCCTTTTGTTTCTTTTCCGTCCGTTCTTTTAACGTTTATTTATACATTTATGCATACTTGACTATGGACCTCTTCTTCAAAAGAGGGGTTTGTATATTTATATAGGAAAATTGTGATTAAAA